TAATATATATAATATAATTATTATATATATTTATATATTTATTATAACATTATATATTATAATATAATTATATATATATATATATATAATATATATAATATAATATAACATAATAATAATAATAATAATTTTATAATATAACATTTACGGATATCATAAAAATGGGAGTGAGAGACATCTATATCTGAAATCGGCAATTACTTAGTTGCCAACCCAATAAATAAAAATTATTCCTAACTATTCCTAAAATATTCCTACCAAGACCGGTCGAATGACACTTTGCTAAATTGAAATGGAACTTTGACAACAGAATTAAAGCGTCGATATAAAAGTTAACTTAAAACAGATAAAGAAGTACAGTAAATTCTCAGAACAAAAATGGAGAATTTGGGAAAAGAAGATACGATTATTCGAGCCTCTATTATTATTCGCGGCTTATTTTTACAGTCTCCTATTGTCAACAATTATAAAAACGAGGTCCAACCAAATATAAACGATTACAAACGATTGGGATAAAAACAATTTCCCGGAAACGGGGAACAACGGTAACTTATGCAAGGGTAAGTGTGGACGCTGTAAATACTGTGGTATTATTTATTTACGTAGAAGGTGTTACATTTTCTGTGAAAGTTCGTCTCTTCATTCATGAAAAACCGCAGTAATACCTACACTTACCCCTTCACAATTCTTTGGAGAAATGTACGCGTAAAAAGGTAAATTCGCTGGGTTTACGAATGTTAAAACTTCGAACGCATTTCTTTCGTCTCACCGTCCTTGTTCATCCCAGCTTGAATGCACTTGGCCAAACGACAGGCTCGGCATTGATTTCGATGCGTTTTGTCCACCATACATCCCCCCTCGGACTTCGCTTTGCAGACGTAATGACGATTTTTTCGTATCGATCTCTTGAAGAAACCGGCACATCCGTCACACGCGAATATACCGTAATGCTTCCCCGAGGAATGGTCCCGGCAGACCTTGCAAGGAATATCGTAAAGGATTCGACCTGAAACAGAAACGAGAAGCCGATCAGACCGGGTGCCATGCGCGTGCCGCGCCGGCTCGAAAATTGCTTTGACGCTTCGCAAATCGCCGAAGCTGTTCCAACACGTCCAGAGGGCCGACGATCGCTCACTAAAATTCCCACAAGGTCGAAGCAATTTAATTAATTAATTAAATTCGGTTCAATTGAACCGAAACTAGAAAGTTAATATATATCATAGTGGACGACGTTAGAACTCTTCTCGCATCCGAAACGTCCTAGTCAATTTCAAGTTGTTCGAACATATTACAGTGAAAATGAATGTTCGAAGTTACTGGAAAATTAGTGTCACCCATATGTAAACGAAGCGGCCCGCAACGTGTTAACATTAAACCTACCGCGGTCAAAGTAATCGCTTTGTAATTTTGCAGTTCTGCAAAGTTCCGAGACTCTTTCGTGGGAAACGCTTGAATAAGTTATATTATTGGAGCAAGTTTTATAATAAAGATTTTCCAAATTCTGAATAAATTCGGTCTTCTCACTTTTGTGAAGCAGTACATGCCAGTTAGTTATTACTGCTTGGTAGGTTTAGTGTTAATTACAGAATTGGGACGTTCCTTCCGATCCAGGATGCAGCCATGGCACGTATCCTTTTATATCGAAACGAAATCGAGCAATTAGCTCGAGCGAAATAGCTTCGAGATAATTATTAACGCTCGACGACTGGGTCAAGTTTGACCGAAGCGTCGACTGTTCACTTGAACGGAGACTGAGACAAAGAAACGTATTCCGTCGAGTCTCACAGTTTAGCCATATCGCTATCGGAGAAGATATTGCGGTGGCTCGTTTTAGTCGAGACACTCTGCGTGCATACAGGGTGGCGTGTTTAAAACGGGTCACCCGAAGAACTCCCGTTTGATATAAATCGACATAACCTTGACATAACCTTCAAATAAACTTGACATAACCTTGAAATAACCTTGACATAACCTGCGTGCATACAGGGTGGCGTGTTTAAAACGGGTCACCCGAAGAACTCCCGTTTGATATAAATCGACATAACCTTGACATAACCTTCAAATAAACTTGACATAACCTTGAAATAATCTTGACATAACCTGCGTGCATACAGGGTGACGCGTTTAAAACGGGTCAGCCGAAGAACCCCCGTCCGTCTTCGACATAAATCGACATAACTTTGACATAACCTTGACATAACCTTGCATAACCTTGCATAACCTTAGCATAACCTTGACATAACCTTGACCATGCGTAGGTCAAACCTATTTTCTTCAATATACGCTAATGTCTCTCTAATTGACGCTCAGATTGTCCAGAAAAATGGACAATTTCGGAAGAGGAGAGATACGATTATTCGATCCCTGCGGCTCATTTTTATGGTTACTAATTATAAAACAATTATAAAAACGAGCTGCAAGGCTCGAATAATAATCTTCGATATATTCTATTTATTATATTATATTTTATATATGTCATATATAAAAACAATTTATATTCTACAAAAGGCATTTTTTTAATTTTCATTATAGGCTCAGATAAAGAAGTCGAAGAACAAGTGTTTCCAACTTTTTCCTTTCATTCCAAGTGATAGCAAAATTAACAGAAAGAGCTTTTTTAGTTCAGCTTTAAAATAAAGTCATCGCGTTTTAAAAAGTGCGCGAAACTAGAAATGCGGTAATCACTCCCTAATCGACGCTCGGATTGCGCCCAAAAATGGACAATTTGGGAAATGGAGCCTCGCGCCTCGTTCTTATAATTCTCGACGATCGGCAACTATAAAAATAAACCGCAAGGCTCGAACAATCGTATCTGCTCTTCCCAAATTGTCCATTTCCGTTTTAGAAATTGAAGGAGAAAAAATCAGGGAGAATTTACTATATTTGCGTTCTTGACTCGATACGATCTCCCGGCAAGATTCGACGAACAACGACGGCGTCGAAGAGTCCCGAAACGCGTTCGCCGATCGGCCCTTGTTCCGGTTCATTTCAATTTCCGTTTAGCCGGACAAAGGGCTCCGAGAGGAAAGCCTGACCGCCGCGAATCGATCATCGCCGTGTGTGTGTGCATTGTTGCTCGCTGGGCGACGCGACGAGACGCGGCGACGTCTGCGACGCCTAGAACGACGGTGAAATCGCGATGAAAACGTCGTTCAGTTCGAATAATGCCGGTATTTTGCGTGGCGGAGAAAACCCGTTTACCACCCGAAAACACGGATCCCATGAATGACCGGGGGTTTCGATGAATGGATCGATTTGTCGCCGCGTCCGAAGGACCTACTGGACGTACGCGCGGCTTCTATACCTGTTCCATGCTCGGCCGTTTCTACGCGGGACAAGGGTGTGGTGCATCTATAATGGGGGTACGAACTCGTTGTCACGAGCCCCGCCTACGCCATTGAACCCGGCCGAGGCTCGTGAATGCCGGTGAATGGGCCGGATGTGGCTGCTGCATTCAGCAGCCCTTAAGTGAGCAGCCCGAAACACGACACTTTGCGTCTCGTATCGCCCGATCTCTCTTGATCGGTACCCTCGGCTCCCTTTATCTTACTTAACGTGGATCTTATTAAAGGGAAAGATTGAACGTTTTCGAATTACCCCGGTCGGCCGCGTTGTTTCTTTTCACCGGCCCCGGGGGCCCGGCCGAGAAACGAGGATCCATCGCCGGCCCCGAGTTTGCCCATCCGGATCTATCGGGGAAACAACGGTCTCCGTGAATATTTGCTTCGAAGATAAGAGAGCAGATTCTCTTTTTTTTCCTCTCCCCCCCCCCCCCCCCCCCGCCCTACGTGTTTGGATGACGCCGTTGGTTTTTGGCGTCGGCTTCTGTTGTTCCGCAGGCTTCTCCGTCGTCGGTCTCTTCTCTTGTTTGCACCGAACTGTTTTGCGGTCTCTCGGACACACGTGGCGAACACCGGCGCTTTTTTCTTCGCTTCTTCTCTTCGGCTTCGTTCGTTCCTTCGTTCGCCGATATCTCACCGTTTCGCGGGGATGCGATACGAAGGGTGCTTTTTGGTTCTTTAGAGCGACAGGACTTTTTCGATTGGGTTGTCTCTGTTGTTTGACTGTCGTCGGATAACAGTTTGTTTGGGCGTTTAAATTGAGGGAGCTTTGGCGAATTGTTGTGGAATTACTCAGACCCCGCGACAACGTTTATTAATTGTGGAAATTCGTTTCGAAAATCGGTGTTCCGATCGATGAATCTGTAGGGTTGGATTTTATGGGGCGCGTAACTATCCGAACCATCGATTTATTGAAGGAACAGCTTGGCAAGAAAATTATTTCAAGCAAACGGTAATATTACTTGATCGATTTAAATGGGAGTCCCTGTGTAATGGTCTTATTTTATGTTTATTACATAAATAATATTTAACCCTTATCGGACGTCAGATATTCAGGCTTAATGTTTAAATGTATACAGCATAGTCTTATTTTATGTTCGTTACATAAATAATATTTAACCCTTATCGGACGTCAGATATTCAGGCTTAATGTTTAAATGTATACAGCATAGTCTTATTTTATGTTCGTTACATAAATAATATTTAACCCTTATCGGACGTCAGATATTCAGGCTTAATGTTTAAATGTATACAGCATAGTCTTATTTTATGTTCGTTACATAAATAATATTTAACCCTTATCGGACGTCAGATATTCAAACTTAATGTATAAATGTATACAGCATTAATGTATGTGGGACGTGACATACGTCCGATAAGAGTTAAATAATATTTCTTATATAAATAATAGTCTCTCTCTGATTACTTAATTTGAAAAAAAAATCTATCAGAACATTCGGACAAAGAAAAAACGTTTTCATAAATTTCCGAATATCATGAGTCAATAAACGAATTAAGACTGCGATTGCTGTTACTTGCACGCCATAAATTATCAACATTGAACATATAAAAAAATTACGAAGAAGATTGCATTTTCAGAAGATTACACGCTATAAAATGTTAGATTTTATACCGCAGTATTCGGGGCGTCCGCAGCAATACCGACACTTACCCTAGAGAAACGTATCGCAGCAAATTAATGAGCGATTCATCGCGGAATGAGAAATCAAGCTTGAAACGAGCAGAAACAACCTGTTGATTGCGCGTGGCAGAGCTCGCTTATCGACTCGCTCGTTATTCGGATTTATTAAGCGCGTCGGTATTTTTTTCTAAAGACCGTCGGAATCACGGCGAGGAAGACGTCGAAAACGCGGAGAGTTTTTCGGCGCGTTTTATCAACGAAAGCGCAAAGAAGCGATACGCGAATCCCGGCGTATGCTTTTACTATTGCAATGGGTCACAATAATAGGGTTGCGCCCTTGCACAGTCCGAAGACCCTTCGCTCGGAGCATGAAGGGAAAGTTGAACTGCGAGCGCGGAGAATACATTGACAACCGCTTCACAGAATTACTGAAATTACACGGTAACTCGGCTAGACAATAATTCGATACAGACATTATTAAATCGATGGAAATGCAACGCGAGGTGTATTAATCTATTCTTGATTCGCGCTAATTGAATTTCGTCGGTTCACAGCGACCGGCACGATTCGAAGCGTTGAAATGAATTATCGCGGAATTGAATTATCGAATATCGCGTTCTAAATTATAAATTGTAACAAATACCCAAAGCATAAGACACCCGAATACGCATGCACATGCACATGCATGCATTATACACAGGGAAATATTGAAACGTGCGAAGCTCGTGTACTTAACCTATAAGA